CAAAAAAAAAGATGTAAAAATCTTTTTTTTCCTCCATTTTGCAAAATGGCTTCATGCATCACAAACTGTAGTTAAGCAGTGCAGTTCAGAAGTGAGAGGTTTGGGATCTTGTTAGGAATAGGAAGCAGAGTGCACAGCTTTAGTGTTGGGGAATCCATTGCTAAATCTCTAGTATGGCACAAGAAGGGTAGTCCCTGCTCAACCCCCTCATTTACACAGTGCTGCAGCAAAGTGGTGCCTAGATTGAAAATAAATGGAGGAGTTCACGGAGGGAAAATCGTTGTCACCATTTGCAAAGCTGGCTGCAATATTTTTTTCCTGTCGTAAACTGTTGTGAATTTGAAGGGGCTGCTGTATTTCCTTCCCAGACATGGTAAAGTTTAGTTGGCAAATGAAACAACCTTTTGTTTGGAAAGCTGTCTTTAGATGAAGGACATCAGCAAAGCTGTCGGTGTGTCTCCCATGACTGCCTTAGTTGAGTAGCTGGACCGTGTGTTCTAAGTCTTTCTGATGCAGAGGCTCGAGTGCTTAGTCTGAGCCAATTTACTCATTCTTCAGCTCTTACTTTTTTGGCTTTAATTGGCTTCCTACTGCATGTCACATTGCATTTTCCTTTGGCTGGCAGATGTAGAGAGTCGACCTCCTTCTCTGGGCTGCTAAATGAACATGTTTTCTTATTAGAGCTGTCTAGCGTAGGCTAGAGGAAGCACCTTGTGTAAGAGAGTGCTGAAACAGAAGTGTGTACTTTGCAATGATAATACCTTCTCAACCTTGTGGGTGACTCCACAGATTACTTCTCATCTTGTTCTCTCATAAATGATATGTAGATACAAAACCTGTGTGAAGATGTAGCAATGTCCCTCATGCAGGAGGAAATTCTCACCAGCCCTTTCCTTGAGGAGTTGTGTAGCTTGTTGAGAGTTTAAACAGATCATCTGTTCTGTAGATCCTGCACAATTTTGCTGCCTTGTTTTCTTGGCTATCCTAAAAATGACAGGTTGCCATTTAATGTACTCGGATTGACTTCACAACCTATCTATTCAGTCATCTGCTTTCTTTGTTCACCTCTTTGAAAGAATTTAATGACAGCAATGATCTAGGTGGTGGGGCAAATTAAGTACTTCATGGACCTTTGCTAGGCAACAAACGCTAGCTCAAAACTTCCTAGGCTATGTCTGGCCTATCTTGACTCTGTTATATGGCAGGTCCCAGTTTATTATTCTACCTTGAGCCACACTTTGCCCGTGCTCCTGGTAGAGAATTTAATGAATTTCCTTTGAAGAATCCTCTAATCAAGTGCTTGACAAACAGCCATGAAGGCTCTGTGGTTGCCCTACCTTTTGGGTGTTTCTGGCCCAGCCCTTCAAAAACACCAGTATTGCCTGGTGTTCCCATCTCTTGTGTTAGCGTGCTGGACTCCTTACAGGGTCTTGATTACCTTTTGTTTTGGAAGACAGTTACTTGCAGTTTCATTTGGTGGTCTGATAACTCTGTAGAAATAAAGTTTTATATTTAAGCAATTAATCTTGTGCTCAGGCAGGGTTGATGTACAGCACTGCAGTTTATTATACAGAGCCAGTTACTGAGTTCCTACTAAATACACATCTTTGGTGGTCTCAGTGATACTGAAAAATACTGAATTGTCAAAGTTATGTTGTTTTCTGTCACTAGTGTATACACTGTTCTGTCCTGCTCCATCTGTTTCTACAGTTAAATGGGATTCAAGTGAATTAATTAAGAACATGTCACCTTATATTAACAGTGAAATATATTTGGTGTCATGAAAAATAAATGTTTCCAACAAATTTACAGAGTTTGAAGCTCTTGTGTCATGAAAGCTGAACTTTGATTGCTCTGGGAAGATGTAAGGGGGATGCTGCAAGAATAAAACATTTGTAAAAGCTCCTTGTTTATCTGCTAGAGTAAAATGGGGCTCACCTCTTGCCAAGATCAGTGTCTATAGATCTGTGCCTTTTACTACAGCTACATGAAATGTTAATCCCTAATGCACATAGCACCTTGTTTAGTAACTAGGGATACTCTTGCTGTTGACTGCTGCAGGACAAAAGGCAAAACCCTGAATTCATAGCTTGCTATATGCCGAGCCTCCTGGGTCATCTAGAAATGCATCTGATCCTTGGAGTGTCTGCCCTGTGCACACTTCCCCTTACCTGCGGGCAGGGCACAGTAGATGCTCTGCAGTAAGTTCTCCTTCTCTTATCTTGTGATGCTGTCTCTGCCTCCTGCTTTGTGAGAATACTGATTTATCTTAGCAGTAATAAATGTTATTCCTTGTAAAGTATAAAATTATAACTGTTACAGGCTGTCCCTCTTATCTTCTGTAGCTTGTTCCACTGTCCTCCTTTCAACTTGTGTTAAACTGGAATTGCTTGTGGGACTGTGCAGTGAGGAGGGGAATAGTCATTGCTTTACAGCAATAGGATATGGACTCTGAACAGATCCATTGAGGAGTCCCTGTGCCCCTATCTTTCCCTTTGGCCTGCCTTCTCTTATGAAGGTGCTAATCACCCCCTACCTTAATTTAATGTCAAAGAGTCTTCAGTGACCTTGAAAGAAGAGAAACTGAGCTGTCAGTGCTAATCTCAAACACAAATGTGCAGCCCTTGCCACATTAGTCATGCCTTTGTCACCTCTAGATTGGATTAATGCAGCACACAGTATGTGCATCTACAGCTAAAGACACATGCAGAACAGTGTTGTCTGCTTGTTTTAGTGTCACAGGAGAGTATTTTCTAGAGAGATTGCCCTCAGTCAGGATCCTAAACTGACTTCTCACAGTGGTTCTGGAAGCTGGTTTGGCTGTCAGGCAGTGCTTTAAAGCTTACCTGATGCTGTTACTGCTTTCTCTAAGAGGATAAATTGAAGGATTGAATGGGGCTGCAATTGAAGACCTAGTGAGGAAAAATATTGGAGCCCTGGAGCTTGCTTTATTTTTTTTATTGGTTACTTTTCTGTATTAATGATTTTACTATACGGTGCTTGTGTTTCGAGATATGTCCTTAAAGACATCTGGTTGTGGAACAATATATACGCAGTGGAGGTTTCTTTCTCTGATTCACATATGAATGGTGCAGAGAAGTCCAGCTTCCTTATTAGGACTAGTCAATCGCTCGATCAGGTACATAATAACCATCTTCTGGGAGGGATATAAGGGGTAAGAGATTAACCCCAGTCTGCATTACAAATAAGTTTAATGAAGTACTAATGTTGAATACAGAAGGTCATGGCAATGAGGAAATTGGACTATTATGACTGAGCCTGTACGCGTGAACAGCCTGCAAAGCAAAGAGTATGCTGGGACTTCATGAGCTGGGGAGGTAAAGACAGTGTCAGTCCTTGGTTCAACTGTTTGCTGAACTGTAACTGGGGATAAAAATACGTTCTTTCACTTGTAGTTATGCTCATGTGCACAGCTGCCTGTTCAGTTTTTAAATGTCCACAGAAATCCTGATTCTTTAACACATCCTTCTCGACCCTGCTCTAGAGGGGACAAGCTGCACTTTCTAACTGGTTCTCCAGTGGGTGGATTCTCTCCATCAGACTACTTTGCCCACACCTGGATACCTTCTGGCATTGTGGTTCTTAGCCAGCAAGTGGGGTCTTAATCTACAGCAAGAAGACATACAGAGTGATAGGAGGGGAAAGGCTCAACAAATATGTTGTGTTCATGTCACTAGCTGGTGGCTTTCGCAGTGTAGCTGGTGAATTAGAGCATTTTGGGTTGCTGCACTTTGGAGGGGTTGTTTTTTTAAATTTGGCTCTGCCTCTTGGTGTCTCAGATCAACCTTTTGGTCCAAATGCTTTTGATGTTGTTATGGCCGCCTACCTGGTTTTAGCAAAATCTGTGCTTCAGTGTTCTGGCTTCTGTTCTACCTAGCTGCTAAAATATTTTGACATGGACATGGAGCTGGTGGGATGCAGTAGGCTGTTCATGTTCAGAGGCTGAGTTTAGGTTGTACCCCTCTCTTTCTGAAAAGATTTCTCTGGTTGGAACTATGAACCAAAGCAGTTTGCTCTTTTGGGAATTAAGAACCTGCCAAAATCCATGTGTAGTTGCTGGGGCTATTCTGTAGGCTGTAGAGCCAAATCAGCCAGAAAAGTCTCCTGCGGCGTCTTTGCCAAGTCCTGTGGCTAGTTTATGTGGTTCACACTTTTGCCTGGAGCATAACATACTGCTTTGTCAGCCTTCTGCAGAGAACTGCTGTTGTCGTTTTGTCATTTTAGTGAGACAGTCCCAGAAAACACTGTCTGAACACTTGTGTTCTGCTGCTCTGGAGAGAGCCTGCTCTGCTCATGCCCCTGTGTCCTGGGACCTCCACCAAAGAGGGAGTGTGTACTAGAAACAGGTGTGGCTGCAGAAATCTGTTCAAGCAAACTCTGTTAAAATCAGATCTTCCTTGTGAATCAATTAGGAAGGCAAGGAAGCTCACCTGTGTTAGAGAAGCCATGACCCTTCAGGGCAGAAGTGCTAATTTTTGGAGAATGTCAATTTACCATTCTTATGGGCCTCAAGCTAGAGGAGACCCTTTCCTGCTTTGAACTCTCTACTGATGTCAGCAGAAGACTTATAAAAATGCCTGATTAGATTATGCCCTCACTGTAGTAACGAAAACCACTTATTAATGTTGTTTGTGTCTTGCATAGCACTTGGCTTGTAGTAGAGAAAGAGCTACCCATTGGATCTTTGGCTAGTTCTCGTTTTGTTTGGTTTTTTCCTCCTTATGATTTTCTCTCCCTCAGTATTTAGTTACCTAATATGTTACAAATAAACAATGAAACAAAGATTGCCCACACTAAAAATTGTGTGTTTAGGTGTTCCTGCTGCAGTGAGATTAAATGTTAATGGGAAATACCGCTCTTACTAGTTCTAGCTTTCTGCAGTGTGAGATGCCCAACACTATTTCATATTTTTGGGGGGGTTGAAGTCTATACTGGTAATTCCTTTGTTTAACTGTGTGTTCTCTCTCTCTTCTGCCTAGCTTTATGCAGAGGGCGTGTTGTAAAGGTGCCCAAAGGTCCTCTTATTCGAGTCGTGGGCACAGAGGTGGTGATCCCTTGCAGTGTTAGTGACTACGATGGACCCAGTGAACAGAACTTTGACTGGGAGTTCTCTCGAGAGACTGACTTCGTGCGGATAGTGAGTACCTGGGATTCTACATTCACCTCTGAGGAGTACCAAAAACGCGTGGGCCATGGGGATATCAAACTGAGACGGAGCAGCAACGATGCTGTGGAACTTGTGATTAGAAACATCCAGCCAACTGACCAAGGCAGATACAAATGCTCCACGCCCAGCACTGATGCCACCGTTCAGGGAAATTATGATGCAGAGGTCCAAGTGAAAGGTATTTCTGAAGAGTGAGGTGTGCTCTAAATTTGTTTTTGATATTGATCATAGATGTACCCTTAAGAATGTTGAATTTCTGTTGTTTTTGAGCATTGTGATTTTTTTTTTTTTTTTTTCCTTCTTCCTGTTCCTGTTTAATTCTCCTAAAGCCAAAATAAAAAATTGGGAAGTATGGTAGCAAAGGCAAGTGAGGTAAAGAAGTGAAGAGAGGCTGTTTACTGTAAATACCACTTTCCTTTTTTCTGTCTAGTAAATATGTAAATAAAAATGGGAAAAGTAAGCAGTGGGTTTTCTGAAGATGTCTGCAAATATTTAATGTCCCTAAGCCTCTGGGTAGAGAGGCTAACTTCAGGTGAAAACATAGCCTGTCTTCTCTCTCATTTATAGTGTCATTTAGGGATCCTTCTGCTTGAAGGAGGTAATCTTCCTTTTCCCCTTTAGCATGTTGATACTGCAGTCATGCCCTAGCTTTGCTCTCATTTAGCATTCTTCAGTAATAACGAGGGATACTATTTTTTTTCAAGTGTGTTTTACTCCCATGAAAATAAAGATGGTTCTGGATGGGAATAAAGAATGATGATGCTTAGATGAGAAACTAAAGCAAGGGGAATGATAAATGAATTTGAGTGCTTGTCTTGGCTTGTTTAAAATGGAGCACTTCCTTTAATGGATTTTCAGCTGAATTTCCTTGTTCCTGGAATATATTTATGTGTGGAAGAAGGAATGATTGGCCAGGTATTGCTCTGTGATAGTTTTACTGCCTCATATCTGAACAGGTCAGTGTTGGTGGTCTCTTCTTGCTTCCCTTTTATGATGCTTGTGTCTTTTGGTCTTTTTTTTCTTTTTAATAGTGATTTCCGATGGCTTATCAGTGAGTGGTTCAAAAGCACGTTCCTCAATGTCTCTCAGGCTGTCTGAGGGTGACACCTTCAAGTTGCGCTGCTCAGCAATTACAACGTCACTGGAGCACACTCACCTGCATGTGACTTGGCAGATCAAAAGTGGATCGACTTGGCAGGACATCCTATCTTTGACTCACGAGGGCAAATTCCAGCCGGATCCTGGCTATGAAGACCGCTACCGTAATGGAGATATCCGCTTGGACACAGGAGCAAATGACACTTACTGGTTATCTGTATCCCAGGCCTCCTCAGCGGATGGGGGTGCCTACAGGTGTCTTGTGAGCGAGTGGGTGAGAGGGGCAGATAGCGCATGGCAGAAGATTCAGGAGAAGAGTGTGGAGATAGCAAGTGTGGCAATCCAGCGGACTGGTGAGTGTTTCTGATGCGCCAGGGTCATAGCTACAGCAGTGCTATGTCCAGACTGTGATACTTGAGAGCAGAAATTGGGTAAGCTGAACTAAACGAGAATCCATTTCAGGAGAGCCTAGAGTGATGTTTGGTTAACTGGCCTGTTTACATCTGGATCAATAGAAAATGCTTGGCATAATTTTTCTAGCTTTTATTTTGGGGAGAAGTGGGTATGATGGCATGGAAGGATTGACTGGAACTTCTTTGATACCTAGATTTTTCTCATCCTTAGTTCACTGGAGATTGCTTCTGGATTTTATATTTCTTAAATAAACAATGTATTTAACCCCTGAGCACCCCAAACCTCTTCTCTGCTCTCATTAGCATAAGATTGTCCCGTAGCACTGAACAGCTGCACTTGCCCTGCAAAAGCAGCTGGCGATTCAGTGGCAGATGTGAAGCTTTTCTGTATGTTGCTTATTAAAATAGCATAGAAAGATCAAGAGAGAGGAGGAAGGCAGTGATAACGTAACAGGACAAATTATCCAGTGATTTTTATCACTGACACTGGATCGTTGGTCTGATTGCCCCATCATGGTGGCATGTGTCTAGGACAGTAATGGTTCTGTTAAACACATCATTGCATGCTTGACTAAGGAGACAAAAATACATATAGTGCTGTGCTGAGGATATTCAGATATTCCTGCCCATATAGATTTCAGGAGTAGATGCACTAAGCACTTAATTGCATTAGCATTACCACTACTAGTTGGAGGAGGGAAAGCGGGACATGATGCATCTTCTCACTCAATAGGTGGAAGAACAGGCAATGATGGTCCCTCAGAATGTGAGATTATGATGATATTTTAGAAGTGTTCAGATAGTAAGGATATCTTTTCATTTTTGTAATCCTTTAATCACTGTAGGGAATAAGCCAGAACTGCTGGGGGTTTTTTGCTAGCTCATTTAGGTGTAATTTTAGTATCCTGGTAGTACTTAGCCTGTGAAATTTGACAGGATCAATATGCCTCCTGTTTTTCGGGGTGTCTGTTACACAGTAAAGCTTGTAGGTACTCTCCACTGAGGTAGGACTTGCTTAATTAAGAGCTGTAATTCTCTATTTTGTTGCACTTTTGGAGAGTTTGGTTTAAGTAGGTGGGGTTTTACCAGTGGCTGAAAACAGGGTGAGGATGGCTAGGACTAGTAGTAGTGCAGTTTTTTTTAATGTGGTTTGGGTGTGCGGTTTTGTTTGTGGGTATTTCGTTTGTTTTTTTTGTTTAGGGTTTTTTTCTTTTTGCCTTAATTTTTAGCTCCATCAATGGCAGCACTGGCACTTTGCCAGGGGCATGAGGCTTTTTTTAAAGTTATGCTAAATGGGATATGTTATTGTCAAGCAAAATGTTGTGGAAATTTTTACCCACACATCCTGTTGTAGGATTTAAAGAGCATCTTGTGTTGACGCCTGAAACATCTGCACTTGTATGCTAAATGAACTTGAGTGGTAAATGGTATGCCTAGTTGCTGCACTTCCTTCATTCTCACCTGCTGTAAACTGTGGGGTTGAATTTGTAGAAACAAAATGAAAAAAAAAAATATTAACATATGTAGTGAAAGAAGTCATACACAGGTTACTTGTTTAACTATATTGTGGGATTTTTTTGTTTTTGCTCTTCTACTTGCCCATCTCTTTCATCTCCTAAAATCTTTGGGCCTGACTTTGAGTATGTCTTTTTTTTAACAGTGCCTTGTACAACAGGTATATAACACTAAGTGAGGCCTTCAGACATGTCTGTAACCAAAAAAGGAACACTGAGAATGTACATACGGGTAAACTATTAGACTCCCTCTGTATGCATATACTGCCAGATTCTGAATGCCTGTCACTATTTCATGAAGACAGAAGTGTTCCTTGGAGAAATGCTGCTTTTAACCTTGTAGATGAGTCTTACTTTGTATTCTGGTATTAGTCTGTTAAATTAGCTAGGCTTTCCTATTGATTCGAATTCCATGATAGGACAGTGAGGGAAGTCCCAATGAGATACTCATCAGACAGTGGATTTTGCTTTACCAGTTGGGTGTTGGGTGGAGCTTGCTACCCTCTGTTCAGTTTGGCTGCTCTGTGTTATCAGGTGGTAAGCAGTGAGATGAGTATTGTTTGGTTTTATTGGCAATAGCTGTGGTTCCTCAGTTTGGCTCTGGCCTTTTTATGTTGTCTGTCATTCCTGATGATAATCCTAAAAAGCTTTTACAGATGGGTACCTATTATGTAGTAGAACGTGGGTTTACAGAGAAGTCACTAATCTGCACCAGAAACATAGCTGCCTGTTTAAGGCAGAAATCTGTATTCTTGCTTGTGGTCTTGGTTGTGGATCTGCTGAGAAGAGCCACTGTTGTAGCAGCCCCATCTGCTAGCCTCAGTTGAGACTTTAAGAGCAGATGCATTACATACTGTGGGAACGATGCTGCGGAGATGCAAATCTAATCTTTAGGCAGTGGAGAATGAGCAAGTGAAGACATGGTGGCCAGGTAACTTGGTGAATGATTTGCAATGAGATTTACAAACAACACAGAGGTTCGCCTCTCACCAGTAACTAAGGCCAGGTTTTCTACTTCTGGGCTTGAGAGTTTCACCCCATGTCTTTCTTTTAACAAAGCTGTGGCCAGCCTGGTAACCTACAGAATGCAGAAGATCCCATCTGAATGCTGGCTATGACCATATGTGCTATGTGTTTTAAAAATATTCACTGGCCAGTGTGAAAACACAGTTAAATGCATTTTAAATGGTTATTGGCATTGCTTTAAAGTCCCCAGTGTGTGTTGGTTAGAGCAGTAAGTGGAGCCATCAGCAGTACAAGTATTGCTGCCTCCTGTTTGCCTCCATTTCATGTTTGTGCAACACACTGGAGGTCAGTTAGGGCTCCAACATGTGGCTGTGGCTGCTTCTCATCTAAATCTGTTCTGTTAGAGGGGCTTAAAACCATTTCAGCAGAAACTGAACTGAGTTCTAATATAGTTCCTAGTGATTTCAGTGGACACTTTCTCTTCTAAGAGATGGTCCCAAAACTCCTCGATGCTCCTGTGAGACTGGAAAGTCATGTACATGTTTCCTTGCTATGTGAAGGTGACGTGGCTTGTGATTGGGACAAAGCCTTCATGGAGCTGTTGCTGTTGGGTTATAAAACCCCTGATCTCCCTTCTTTCCTCCCCCCGCCCTCATCATGCATCCCTTGCTCGACTGATAACGTGTACTTCCCTTGTAATAGATCATGCAGCTATATATCCAACAGGCATTTGAAGGCAGAGCTACTGAGCTACTTCAGAAGCTTCTGTAATAGAGTGTGAAGTCCTGGAAAACTTAGAGTCGACTCTAACTTTTTTTTTTTTTTTTTACGGGAAAGAAAAAGAAAGAAAAAAGAAAAAATTATTTTTTGTTTTAATTTTTGTCTCTTCATTTCTAAGCTCTAGATGTGGTCATCTCAACAAGCAATGTGTCTGTGACCGAGAGAGACTCCCTGGATCTTACATGCAACATCACAACAGACAGGAGTGGTATTTTCCAAGCAGAGGTGATGTGGTATTTTTCTGTGTCACCTGACGATACCTTGTCAGATGCTCAGGTTTTGTTGAGCATGGACCATGATTCTGTTGTCAGTGATTCAACTCTCATAAGCCTGAGCCATGTAGATAGGAACTCCTATCGCCTGCTGGTGCGTGATGTGGATGTAGAAGACTCTGGCTACTACTTCTGCCACGCAGCTGTCTGGGTACCACTGCACAACGGCAGCTGGCACAAGGTGGTGGAGAGGACATCTGCACCAGTCAGCGTGGTGGTGACAGCAACAGGTGAGTGATTCTGCTTTCAGACTTCATGGGTAATGTACCTCTCATTCCTTGGTTCCATCAGAAAAGGGAGAGGACCTTGCAAAATGTCTTCTGTACTTGTTTCTCTTGTTTGCATCTATCATCTATATGTAGGGTACCCCTCTCTCACATATAAAAATACTGATCTATCCTATGGGGCTTGGGTTTGTATGTTAAAGGGTTTTAGGATCTCCTACTGTATGTCCCACCAATGCATGCCACTTTCTGGTGTCAATGAATAGTTTGCAATTGGAAAATAGAACTTAAAAGCCTGCCTTGTTTTCCAGGGGCTGAAGCTGCCCCTGTTGTCATGTTGTCCTCTTTCACCTTCCTTGTACTGTTAGCAGGGCTCTGATCCAGCAACAAGCATTCTCTCTGAGCTCTGAACACTGATATCAGATGCTTCCCCTGATTTTTGAGGCATATACCATAAATATTATTTATAATGGAAATTTCATAATGAACTCTAATAGCTTTCAAAGTTGTTGGGGTTTTTTGTTGTTGTTTTAAACACTAGACACCATGTCCTACTAATGGATTTAGAACGGAACATGACTTTATACTGCTTTATTCTCTTCCCCCAACATACAACTCCATTTTAGAAGACTGTCACATAGCTGTTGAATAGTGTGACTGTATGAGAGAGACCTGACTTGTGGCTAATTTAATGCTAACAATGTTGATTAGCCTAGTGGCCACCAAACCAGGTTTTCTGCAGTATTTAACATCCCACTAAGTGTGGTACATTTTTCACCATTCAATCCTATAGATGAGTGGATTTTTAGCCCTTTGGACAAGTAAAGGATTTTTGTGCACTTGAGGTTATGGCTTCCATATATTACTTCAGCATTTCTGCAGCAAGTTCTTTTAATTCACCAGTAGGGGAAAAATCTACTTAAACAGAAACTCGATGATCTCTTTATTTTCTCCTTCCTTTATCCCCAGTGGTTCTTAGTGTTTTTTCTTTCTTATAGCAAGGCAATAAGAAAAAATGTGTCAATGTCCACATTTTTTTGAAAGAGGCTGGTTAGAAGTAGCTGTGTTTAACAGTAGTTCATTTAAAGACTTGTTGACTGAATGAGGAACAGAAGCTGTAGGTAAGAGATTCAACAGGCTTACGTGATTTACTTGGCCCAGAAGAGCGGGCTGACAGTAACTTTTCCTATACCCCTTTCCCAAGACAAATCTGTCTTGGAGATCTACTGTCTCATGCTGCAGATTGTAAAGCTTTTGCTTTGCATTATCCTAGTTGAACTCTTAAGCTTTGGAGATCTCTATGCAAATATCCTTAGAAGTTACCTGGGTGAAATACTAAAAATGAAACTCCAGCAAAACTTCTAAAAAGCTTGTTATGTTAGGGATAGGTCTAGATATGTTAGCCTACCCATCCTGTCCCCTAGTTTATTCTCAGGGAGAGAATAATTTCAATTTAGACGCAGTGATACTCAGGATGGTGTTGCAGGGTGCTGTAGGTAAAGTATCTGCACCTGCTAAAATTTCCAAGGTATTAGTTGTGTTGGAAGCATGAATGAACCTAGATGTAAGCGGAGAGAACTGACAGAGCTGTAGTATTTGGTGGTTGTTCTCATCTTTAACTGGATGCAAGTATCCAGCACTCTCAATGTACCCATTCAGAACCTCTTGTCATCAGAAACTGGTGGTACTGTCCAGTTACAAAAGCACAACTCCTCCAACATAAAAGTACTGAATGAGGCCAGCATATAGAGCGCCTACTCTGAAGCCTGGTTGTCAGAAATAAATAGCTGTGTCACAAGGTTAAATCCCAGTGACAATTACTTTAAATTTTGCATTTTAGCATTGTACAGAGCAGTTGAGCCGTGGCTGTTTCCAAGTATACTTGTAATGTGTGCTACAAGTGTGCAAGTGATGAATGTCTTAATTGCCTGTCCTATTTCAGCCATTCACATTACACATTCAACTTGTGCTCCTTCCTTTTCCCACTTGTGTGCGTGTTCATGCATGCACAGGTGCACGGCGTGCTCATGTACTCTCTCATAGTGCCCGTATCTGTAGGATTCCTTACTCTTTCCATTCCAATTTGCCATTATTTGGGAACAGAAGAGAATAAAATTTGCTCTTCAGCAGATGCTTGGTTGCTAGGACAAGGGAAAGTAGAATAAATTTTCAGCATTTTAGGTTTTCAACTGCATCCAGAATTCACCAACTCCTTTTCCTTAATGGAAGTTAAGAGCTGCTGGAGTATTTAGTCATTGAACTGTCAGTGAAGCTGTTCTTTGACAGCTGACAGAGTGGAGGAATGAGGTTTATCCAGCCAGCCCTTTATTCTTTCTAAATACTCTGTCTGAGTGTATGTCAGGGTGAAGCAACTATCTCGAGTGGTGCTGTCAAAGCAAAAACTCTCTTCTTAGTGGCCCTTCCCCTGCCCGCAAGTAAAACAAACCCGAAGTGATCTTTCTAAGAACTTGAGTTTCTTGCAGCTTTTTCTGTGTGTTCTTGTCTAGAGAAGAATTTCTGCTTTCATAGTCTTTGTTGCTGTGAAAATATTAATTGGTCTTGAATGCCGCCTTTTTTGGGGGGAAGGGGGAGGCGGGGGGGAATGATAAGAGAATTGCAGGGTGTGAGCAATATATCATGAGGCCCTGGAGAAGACTAGTCTTTTGTGAATGAGACAGGAAGAGTAGTGTAGCTGTAGGATATATGGGGACTCGCACCAAAAGTGGGTTTTGGCCACCGTTAATAATCTATGCCTTGGCTGCAGCAGAGGAATTTTGTGCATTTTATTTTATCTTATAATGAAAATGTGCAGAAATCTGCACTTACGTTCACTGGTAATAGGTACTACAGACTTATGTAAACAGTACTTTTGTGCTTGTGTGTTACCTAACACTACAGAAACTCACCATCAGTATTTCTAGATACTGCCTGGTGTGTATTAATGCCCTTGTTCTTGCTAGATGCAAGGACACTGCATGCATAACACTTAATGGTGAGAGATCTTTCCTGCAAGCTGACAGAGCAGCAGCCAGTTTGCTTGATACAATTGTTTTTATCCTTTGCATCTGAAGTCCAAAAGTGCATGTGCACGCACAGTTTGCGCAGCAGTTCTATTAAGATGCTTTATTATTTTGGCTTGTTGGTGAGCTAAGCCTAAGTTGTAGCCGTGGATTGCCTTCTCTTTCCCAATTATAGCTTCTGTTAATTTGTTTCTAGGAGGGCAAAATGCCAAATAAAACATAAAGCAAAAAATAAATATGGAGTGCTGAATACACTTACGATGTAAAAGCCATGTGATAAGTATTGGCCGAACAGTTGGAAAGCTAGTCTTTTTTTTTGAATTATAGTAGACAGCAAGACAGAAAAATATTCTAACACTAGTAAATAAATATGTATTTCCTTGTGGCGTGAGATTCTGGCTGTAATCTTTTTCCTTTACTATCTGTGTAGTCTGAGAGAAAATAGTCATGTGGCTGCTTTATCACTTTTAGGCTTTGGACATCCAGCTATTTCAGATTTAAATACAGCAGCTCCATTCTTAACCCATGAATTTCAGGAACTCCTTTTCAAGCTTGATGTATTCCAGTCTCATAACTGTACAGCACTTACTTCTCTATTCAGACTGTGAAGCTCTTCTGATTTATGCATCTTCAGCTGAACCTACTTAGTATTTATTATGCTGCCTGCTGAAACTTACTGTGCAGCACTGTTGGTGCTGCCTGTGGCCAGTGCCAGGGGTGGTACCCATGTCCCCTGGTTTTGGTGTGTGGGTGGGTAAGGTGTTTGGGGTTTGGGTTATTTTTAACATTCTTAAAACTGAATTGTAAAGACATGATGGGATGGTTAAGTGTGGAAATGAAGGTCTTTTGGGATGGGAAAATGGCCTCTTACCCTGGAGAGGAATTGGGGAAATGGGATGTCTCTGATCAATCCAAAGCTAGAGAATAACCAGTCTCCTGTTGCTGCAGGCTGCCCCGAGCATCTGAACAGGTTCAAAAGGTGACTGGCTGGGCTGAAACTGAACCCACATGGTGGGTTATTGGGCCAGGCCTAAAGAAGGGAATGATTTTGCTTGACAGGATGTCTTAGTCTTTATTTTTCTGAAACGGTCTGACTAGATATACAAAATGAAAGGTCTTGTTTGGAAATACAGGCTTAGGGGTACTTGTCAGACTGGTACAAGTCTGAGAGCTGGAGTCCAAGTTTCCAGTCCCCAGGTCTTGTAAGAAGAATGCATATTCTGGCACTTGGCTTCTAACTAGTCCTTTCACAGACTGGATTGGATGTTAGAAGTTAGCAGTATCTCTTAATAAGCTCTGATACTTTTTCCCTTCTGCTTGTAGCTTTTAATATCTTTCTTCTGGGTTTCCTTTCCTGCAGAGCCAGACTACGAGGTGTTTCTGAATGCCTCTAAAACACCCAAGTTTTCAGATGACCCCACAGAGCTCAACTGCAGGATCACAAACTCACAGGACACCAAAGCCAACATCCGCTTCACGGTTTCCTGGTACTACAGGCAGCGCCTGCGCAGTGATGATGTGGTGACAGAGGAACTCCTGGCCACGATGGATGCAGACTGGACTCTGCTGCTTGGGGACAGGAGCAGAGAGCGGACTCAGAATGGGGAAATAATCTTCTCTAAAAAGGCTGCTGACACATTCAGTTTACGAATCCAGTGGACTTCAGAAAGTGATAGAGGAGATTATTTCTGTGTCATCTCTGCATGGAGTAGGCACCGCAACAACAGCTGGGTAAAGAGCAAAGATGTGAGTTCTGCATCTGTCAGCATTTTCTGGGCTACACAAGGTAGGAACTTTGCACCTATTTGCTGAAAGACCTGGATAGCTGAGATAGCAGGCCTTCTGAAGAGAAAACTAATGGGCTCTGGAAATCTGTGTTACAAAGAGGAAAAAACACTATTACCTTGTGTAAAGTACTCTTATTTGTGGAGGGAAGTAACTACTTAACAGCACTCACCAGTTTTATGCAACAGTTTGGAATGGAAATGCAAAGCAGAGATATATCAATCAAACTGTGCTGAGACTTCCAGGAGATGGGCTGTCATTGTGGCAGGGGTGTCATCCAGCAGTGATACTGGGGTCATTGCCCCCTTTCATGACTTGGAGTATTTTGGTCTCTCTAGGATGCATCTTGCTGCTAGCAGCAGGGTTGTCTTGAGGTGAAGAGAGGAATGTCACTCACTTGTCTTCTCTGTCTGCCAGTGTGAGAGGTTTTTTCTCTCTCCTACAAGCCCATGTTTAGAAGGCACTTCTGAGGAAGTTCATGGTCATAATAGTACAAGAGTATCAAAAAATAAGTGGGTGGCAGAGCTAAGTCATTCAGTGATTTGCTTGTATCTTGGCCTGTTTTAGGCAGAAGTGAGCTAGCTCTGGTCAGTATTTAAACTGATTCTGGGAGCATTTCTTAAAAACTAAATAGTTACCCGAATCACTTAATGCTGCTTTAAAGTGAGTGTATGTATCCTGAATGTCCTGTAGGGTGATACTGTTTTGGCTTAGATGGGAGGTCATGCAAGAGGGCCTGTTGGATAGGGACAGAAGGAATAGAATAACCTAGGATGTAAGATCTTTGGCAAAAATCTGTGCTTAGCTAAGCTGCCTTTATCATGATAGATTTGTTTACCAGTCTAGCTGCTCAGCCGGCAACAGGCAGAGAACTATAGTTCAGAGACAAGTAGTTTGAAATCAGTTTAAAGTTGTTTAGGGATAATCCCTAAACAGCGAATTGGAGAGCTTCTTTGTGATTCTGCTTCAGTGGAGAGAGAAATGGTGGGCTGCTTGCTCAGTATTCCCTTCATCCCCTGACCAAGCATGGTCCACGAAAAGGTCATTTTTTTTTCACTGAAGCTGGCTTCTGCAGCAGGAATGAGCGCTCTCATTAATGCTGAATGCTGGTCACAATTAGTTCAGTTGTTATGCCACAACACGGAGTGTGTGTGTGTGTATGTGCATGCACGCGTAATGGATCATCGCCTTCAGAGCAACTAGAGAGACCAGCTGGAGTTGAAAAGTCTCAGCCTGTGTTGACATTTCTGAGGGAAAACAAACCGTGACAGGTGTGAACGCTCCCTTGTTTCTGGTTTTGTTCCAAAAACTCTGCTAATTTTGCAACACAAATGTAAATGTTATAGTCCCCATGCTGAAAAGTGCATTTTGTTGGCAAAACTTGGAGTTGGGGGATTTATGATGTGAAAATGAGCCCTACAAACACCTTCTCCTCCTGAAAAACCGTGTTATATGTATATAAGGAGAGCAGGACAATATATAGGTTTGATTTCCCTTCTTCCCTTCCACCCCTCGTGTGCCCCCTCATGCTCTTTCAGCAGTCTACCCCAGATGCCGTTCTCTGCATGCCCAGTCCCCTGACATACCCTATTCATGTGAGCTCCAGATTCGGCTGTGAGCACAGCGCTGGAGCCAGCAACTATGAAGGAGTTAATCTGCTGCTGCCTCTGCTCTCTGTTGTTTTGACAAGTATCTCTGGTGATTTGAGTCCCTAACTGCTCCCAGTGCTTATAAAAGCCAGCAGCCAGGCTCTCACATGTTTGCCTAAGGAGAGAACAGAAATTTGCCTCTTCCTTGGATAGCTTGAGCCTATATAGAGGCTTTTCTTCCAACTATTTCATTACCGGCATCATTTGTGTTAACTTTAGAGCTGTGCTTGGAGAGAGGGGGACTTCAGAGGAATCCCACTTCAGAAAAGATTGTTCTGAGTTTTTGAGAAGGGAGAGATGTTTTTTTGGTGTGTCTGTGGGTCAGTCAGCCCAGAGGGGTGTTCGGAATAAGGAAACCTTTCCTTGAAATGTAAACATCATGTGGAGGTGTCAAAGTCCTTTCTGTGTGTGTTGTATAATAAGTTGTATGTTTGCCCATTTTTAACTTGAGGGGGTTTATCTTCTTTTTCTATTTTGTTCTGTTGGGACCAATAATGCTCACGTCTTTCTGCTTACTCAGCTTTGCAAATGCAGCCAATGGCTGTCATAGATCACTGTTTTTGACATGGTCCGCCTGATTTGTTTCTTCCCCTCTTTCTTTTACCCTCTCCCCACCAAGCTGACAAAGAAAGCATCTTTATCTCACGTCAGAAGTGAAAAGCATAAATTATATTGTTATTTTTTGCTTATTTAGAGTACAAATTCGAATCAGTAAAAAGGGGTAAAGGAAGGGAGGAAACCTTTTTTTGTCTGGCTCTGTAGGTGATTTTCAACCCAGAAAAAAGTTTGATAGTTTAAAAGATACTTTTATTTTTCAATTTTGAGTATGAGTACTGCCTATATTTAAAGCACAGTTGCTGTTTGCAGTGGAATGCAGAATTGGTGTTTCTTTCTTAAACCAATGCTGTCAACTTTGGATCTGCACGGAAGTCTTTGCAAAAGAGAACATCCCCTTTTAATTGAAATTTCAAATCACAAAGGTACTGTTATTTGAGATTTTATTAATACTTATGTCTTTAATTCCCAAAATAATTGTATTTGACATAATGTTACTTGTCCTAAATGTTTGCCTAGGCTCCCCCATCACATTTAATTGGGAGCAAGGGCCTCTTAATCCTTCAGAAAGCCCTGCGAATAGAGAACAGGTAATATTTCTGCCACCTACTTGTCTTTACCATTGCTGGTGTGTAACAGACACTGCACAGTATGGTCATGCAGTTCCTATTGAGCAAAGAAGTTCCCGTACCCATGGCACCAAGCTATCGGGTGTATGTGCCAGTTTGTGTGTAGGAACAAGAAAGTACCTTAAGTTAGGTGTGCAAGCCCCAGTCAGGGGTGGCCAGGCTCTTCATGCCCATGGCTGTGTGAGGGTGAAGTGTTTATATTCTTTGCTTGGCAGAGGAACCGGCTGGTGAGGGTGGTCTAGGTGTATGCGTGCAGCAGTGGGGAGAGCCGTGGTGTTGTGTGTACACGTATCAGGCTGTAGTGCAGGCCTTAGTGTGCCTGCTGTATTTCCAGAACTCTTGGTATCAGAGCTGCTGGGGCTGCAATTGTACCTCAGGGTGTTGTATAGCCTCCTTCTCATGCGAAGGCAAAGCTGTCATTACTTTAATGTCTGTTGTATTCCCTGTACTTGCAATCTAGCTAGTGCACTGGGGGATGAAGAAGCCTTTATGAATATTGAGATGGTGTTACTTGAAGCTGCTGACGAGACATTAGGCTCTGAGGTTCCTGTTAGCTGTGGCCATCGTGCTGCTTTTCCAACCAGAGTCAGCGGAGTGCAGGGAAGGCGTTTGCTGTTTCCTTAAGCCTCCTTGCCCTTGTAGCTGGTAGGCTTCTCTAGCAATTTGGCTGGCCTAGATTAGGTGAAAACTCTTTTTGGTCACTACCCAGGAAGCAGTCTTGAAGCTGAGCATGCACTTTGTGGTAGAGAGCAACAGAAGAATTATAGTGTGGCTTAACCACTTGGACTGGCCAGTGATGGAAGGCCAGAAGCATGCACTGCCAGGCTCCAAAGTACAGTTTATTACTCAAATTTTATCTGAATCATTTGGCTAGGATTTCTTGTGTTGCTAGTCCTCTGTCTTGGAGTAGTGCCCAAACTGGTTATAAGCTTTGGGTATGGTTTACTTAGGATCTCTTCCCCTACCCATTTCCAACATAAACTCTGCAGATTGCAGCCTCCTGTATAGGACCAACCAGGGTGTGTGTTACCGTGCTTTTCATTCATGAAGCTTTACAAGGAGATGAGATGCTGCATGGGATCGCAGGCATGTGTGTGGAGGAGCAAGTGTGCAGAGTAGCGCTCAAGACACAGACATTGTTTCTTTGGCAATTCCTGGAAGATTAGAAATGAGATCTTAGGCTGTAGTTCTTGGAAGAAAATGTTCTTTGGCCTCTCTGGCGCATCTTATGCTAGAAGATCTTACTAGTAGTTTCTGTTAACATAGAAACATGAAGAAACTTTCCCACTTAATTTTCCTTGCAGATTACTGTTATTTCTAACCTAAGTGCCAAATCTTTGGGATCTCCTCTTTCTTATAATGTGCACTGTTACAAGCAGAGACAACTACTTGCTTCTCTAGGTGGGGGTGATGGAGTGCTAATTACATTTTGTCTGCTGCTACTGCAGAACAATTTTGGCTCAGAACTGTACTGTTAAGAATGGTGATCCAGACTTTTCTAGTTGATAGGATATGGGGCATTTTGTTTGTTTTACTTACTACATATGCAGGTCTCTGATATTATTGCAGATTCAGAAATGTTCCTTTGATCTTTTTTGAAACAAGAAACATTCAGTACCTGTATGTGCTGTTTTTTGTGTCCCCTTCTCTATTCTAGTCTGCATTTCTTACAGTCTTACGTAAGAGGAGGTGCCTCTGCCTTCTGTATTCTTCCAACTCAAGGATCTTTAGGTTTTTTAAAAGGTAGAAAAATTCTTTGGAAGGACTTCCATAAGTATATATCTCCTTGTTCTCTGTTCATCATCCTAATTTCTAACCCTTTTGACTTTTACCACTGTTCTCCAGCTGCATCTCTGGGCCTCAGATGTTCTTTTCCACAAACTCTACAGATGGCATTTCTACTGCTGTCCCATGCTACCACCACTCCTTTCTCCTTTTTTCTTTAGCAAAAAATAATTGGGAAAATCAGCGTTTTCTACTACCCTCAAACGGAAAGTCAAGAAAGAATGCCTAGAACAAAGTTTGCTCTGTCCTTACAGGGGACAAGACACTCCCTTGTGTACTGCTGACTGACCTGGGGCTCAGGGAGCATCTGAAATAAGGCATTTAGAGGCCAGGTATCAGGAAAGAGTTGTTTCTTTTCAGCTACATCTGTACTGCTGTGATCATGTGAAGGTGTTTGCCTTAAGCACGTGTATGAGAGATGAAATGCAAGGTTTCTTTTTTGGAGCCTTGGAGCCAGCGCTCTGACACGAAGATCAACAGCATGAAAAACATTTGTATCAGGAGGGATTTTTGCCCAGAGCCTCCTCATAAGGCCTAGAAAACAGCAATGCCTGGCAGAAAAGTATGGCTAGCTGTTTGTGCTTCTGCTTTTAGGGCAAAATATAATTGTCTACTATATTCCTAAAGTATGCGTTAAGCTGATCTGTGCTGGACTCCTAAGTGCTGCAACCTTATGAAGAGGGTGACACCAGAATCTCATGGACACAGAATGAGAAATTCATGGATTTGAAGTCTAGAATCAGATGCATGATGAGCTTTCTCACAAGGGAGCAGAGAATGACTCTGTGTGTGCAACTTCAATTGTGATTGTACCCTGACTGCCTAAATGTGCAACTCTTGTATTCCCCCTTGCTTAGTGGGTGGAAGTACGAGGGGGGTATGGTGTTGAGTATCAAGTAATTCTGTGCTCAGTTAGACCACTAGAAGCAGCTCAGCCTTCGCCACTCCTGCTGTTTCTTTATATAACTTTGTACTGTGATCTGCTTTGTACAGTACTGATTTAAAGTTGTCATACTGGGTTTCTCATCTTGTGGGCTGTGTTTACTCATTGTGAAAACTGCTGCTTGAAGGCAAAACACTGCAAAATGTAATCTTGACAAGTATCTTGTTGCTTTTGTGGGGAGGGCATAAATATTACCGTGTTTAGTTCAGTTTTGGGAAATATCTCACCATTGCTTATTTCCCTTTTCCTGAGAAGTTTCACCTTGCATAAAGGTGATCTATGTAGTTTTTTGATTAATGTGTCTACACTTATTTTTTATAAAGGGGGGGGAAGGGAGAATATGCTGCAGCAAAGTAAATCCAGAAAGTCGGGCTGGCTGTATTTTTGCAATAGTGCTACTTTGGGAAGTGGCTGTAAACTATGCATTCTGTCCCAGCCCTCGTGTCCTTAGGAAGAACCTGGGTGTTCAGGATGTCTCTTCATCACAGCGTCAGGAAATGAGCAACTCCCTTTCCTTTTATCTGGTTCTGATTTTAGTCACTCCTTATTTTATCAATTTCTCTCTGTGAGCTTGTATATTTTGTTGTTTTGGGACTGTGCTCCTAGATGTATAATTTCTCCAAACCCTGTAATTAAGGGATTCTTGGGATTGAGGAGCCGGTAGACTTGGAGAATGCTGAAGAAAGGGAAGGAAACCGAACAGTAAGTGTTGCTGGCATTCTTGATGCCAAATGGCCTGTTGTGAAATGGCTTCTGTTAGGCTTATACTCAGGATGAATGCATGAGAAGCAAGTGAAAAGAACGCATGTGGAGGCAGAGGTATACCAGACTTTCAACACAAAGGTGTGGATATGGGGGTGCTGGGGATGGAGACTTCTCCTGTTATCACCAACTTTTTGTCGTACAGTTCCAACTGATCTTGGGAGTTCAGCTGGATGTGTCTGGATTGCTGTTAGGGTGGATTTTCAAGGGAAATAAAAGAAGCTACACTAAGTGCTGCTGATTAAATTAGTGGCAGCTTTTGTCACTACTCATAAGTACTTCAGCGGTGTCCTTGGACCCTGTTGCTGAGGGTGCTCTTCCAGATCCAGTGTAAAACTGGGACTCTTGAGTCTTGTCTGACTAATATCTTTACTCCTGAATAAAAAAATCCTGGAAGTTCTGTCATGCTATGACTTGTGTATTGCATTTTGTGTTCACTATTTGGTGTTCATTTCAGTTCTTGCATCTTGACCCAAACTGTTGTGTACTGGTATATGTGCGCTGTTCAGTAGCATTCTGGGATGTCCATATGTGTTTAGATAAATGTGCCGGGGTTTGTCTCCCCCAAAAAAGTGATTTGCTTATTTGTAATCTAGACTGAAAGGTACTGCAGAAGTATCTGCACCTATTTATTAACCCCTCCCTTGCTGCTTATTTCCTTCCCTCTTCAGATTACACGCTTACCGTGGAGGCGGTGAAATTGAAGCCATTCTTTGTAGCAGGCCACACCTTTGAGATGACATGCAAAGTGTCTTCGAAAAACATCAAGACGCCACGTTATTCTGTCCTCATTACAGCTGAGAAGCCACTAACGGATCAGTCGAATCCCAATGGAACCACTCGCATCATCTCCTTGAACCAGGATTCAGTAGTGCGGTTGGAGGACTGGACAGACCAGACTCGTGTGGACGGTGTGGTTCTGGAGAAGGTCCAGGAGAATGAGTTCCGCTACAGGATGTATCAGACCCAGATTTCTGATGCAGGGTTGTATCGCTGTGTGGTGACTGCCTGGTCTCCAGGTGGTGGTGGCATGTGGCGTGAAGCAGTGAATGGCTTATCCAACCCTATCCAGATAGACTTCCAGATGTCAGGTTGGTATAGAATCTGGCTGCTATGTGTCTAAGCCAGAAAGGGAGAGACTTCTGTGATGTTCTCCCAGTGGTTCCCCTGTCTGATAAATACCTAGTCTTTGTAACATGGAAGGGGTCCCCAGATGGTATGATGGCTGAGCGCTATGCTTGTCTCCTTTGGTGATACTTGTGTCCTTTGTGCTATTGATTGTTTACAGAAAGATGTTTAATGAATTGGATGTAATCATAACCCCTGGGTTTTTCTTTACTAATGCAGCTTTTATGGTCCCGCAGGCTCAGAGCTGGTTCTCGGTATGGAGTAACTGCTGCCACATGTGGGAGCTTTATCACTGAATTGCTGTTAGGTAGTGGCTGCTCTGAAAGAACATTAATATAAACTGGATTTCTGTATTAGCATAGCATTAATTTGCCTGAGCACACCTTCCTGTTGATGTAATTGCAGAAAATGGTCAAGTCAAGGCAATGGTAACATTTCAGCCATCTCAGCAAGTGTATCCTGCCACTGGAAGACCTTAGAGGCCCCTTGTGGCTGGGCTACAAAGCTCCACAAGTTGGGATGAATTTCACTACCCAGAAGTGCATCCTGTTCCTCACATCCTGGCTGAAACCCTTACCTTCAGCTGTAACAAAGCCTGCCCGTTGAGATTTTTCTAGAGAAGCATGCCGGTTCTGGTACATTGTTGGGTGGAGGGAGGGAGGGACAGCATTGGTTTGGAACATTAGAGATATATGTTAAAACTGACCTCCTGTCATGCTGTGTGGGTGGGAAGTGCTGTGGGAGTTGTTTTTGTAATGGCGGTATGCTTATGAGTGAAGGGCTCATCTCATGATTTGATAAGCCAAGCTGGTGACTTCTTGAGCAATTTTGAAGAGCTCTGTGTACCCCTGAGGTGCATCCTATGCTGGAGTTCTTTAGTTAGCTGCTTTATCTCAAACCTTCTGTGCCTCCCTCATGCCTGTTCACAGGCACAGCTTGGGAGGAGGTCTCTCCTCACATCCCTTGTTCATGTGAGTTATTCTGCTTATAATAGCAGGGCTATAGGGCTTTTAGAAGCTGTGTCTGTGACTAGGCAAGAGCAGCCTGACCTCTGGTTGCATCCATAACTAAGGTAATTGTTCTCTGCGAGGTGATTTTTAAAAACTAAACTTCCTTATACTAGGCACACTGGCAAAAGGACAAGGGCTGAGTGTCGGGGGACAGCCTTGAAACGAGAACATCACTTTGTAAGAAGCCTTGGAGTGTAGCATCCTGATACAAACCCTAATGAAGAGGTAGTCTGACCTAAACTGGTCAGAGAGAGGACGTTGACTCAGCTCAATGCTGCTTTCAATTTTAGGTAATTTCTGGTTGGCTTTTTGTTTAGTTTTATGGTAAGTTACTGTTCTGAAAAGAATCTGTTAGTTGCTTATGTTCCAAATGCCTCTTAGAGCACTACTGTCACAGATGAACATTGCTGCAGATTTGCTGTCTTCTCAGGATGGTTTAACGGGCTATATTTTTAGCCTTATTACTTGATACCTGGGTTAGACACAGTGGAAGAGCAGCATTTGTAAAGGGGTTGATGCAAGAAACCAGCAAGAATGAAATCTGTCCCAAACCCCTCCCCTCCAAGCTCTTACATGGAGGCTTTCTTTCACAAAAGTGATAGTTGGTGACTCTCCCAACACTGCTTGTGTTATGTCACTCTGAACTCCCATCCAAAAAGTTTGGCAGGCTGCTGTTGATACCCATGGTTCAGGGGGAAATGTGAGCTGTTTAGGGGAGGGAAGTGTGCGTGTTGCAGTCTTGACTTTTTGCTGTCACTCTCTACTCCCAACCTCTTCACCCAGATAGGGTTTCTGGAGTGTGGAGTGAAGAAAGGGAGTCAGCCTGTAGAACTGCCCTGGGAATGTGTGAATTCCAGTAGCAGGGATGGAGCAGATGGAGGGATGGTCCTGAAGCTCTGTCAGCCTTTCATTCTTTACAAAAAACAAAACAAACCCCAAATCCAAAACGAAGGGAGAAATGAGATCCCAGGCACAATTTACTGGAGGGTTATTTCCCAAAATAATCTTGACATCTAGCAAATTCTATCTTGAAATACCTTCCTTTTTTGATGGATGAACTTTGTGTCCTTCAGTTGTTACTCAGATATCCTTTCTGGACATTCATCTCTAGGCATGATGAGGACATGTGATGAACACAGAATGGATTAACTGTGCAATTATATTTTCAGTTTGCACCATGGTGGATGAAGTGAAGAAATGAGCAATATGGAAGTAGTGTTTTCAGCAGAAGGAAGCCCTTAAAGGGTTTTACATGAAGCTTTTAGGGGTAGGAGGAATTTAGTTCCCAGTTGTTTTTATTGATTCCCCTTTGATAGGGGGTGTGGAAACTTGCTAGGATTGTAAATCCTTCCTTCCAGCTTGACTCTGTCCCAGATCTCAGAGTTGAATGATGTTTCAAGGAGAGGTTTTTAGGCATACACATTCCGCAATGTGATCTATCTGAATGGCAGGAGGCCTGTAAGCTTTTTATATATGAGCTGGGGACTGTGCACATGAAACTTCAGTGTTTCCTGCCACAATAGGCTTGAAATGTGGCAGTGCTCTGAAATGTTTTTCCATGAACATCTGTGGAAAATGTCTTGCTCAGATTCTTTCCATTCAAGGCAGAACTTTCTGGCTGCAAGCAGAGACCTCCTCTCTTGTTTCTCTACTTGCTGCTGCAGAGGGATGTATTTATTCCATTTGGTTAATGATTTGAAATGCTAATGTAAGAGCATTTGTTTGAAACTTCCTGAACTAAAAAATGAAATGTGGATTTTGTCCACTGAATTATATAAACTGGAAATTGAGGGGTATCGGTGGTGGTGAGGAAAAGCCTAGTAGGTCATTAGTTTTCAAATATTTAATCAATGGCAGATTGTTCTCTGGTGGATATATTTTAAGACCAGAGAGGATCTTTTGAATCCTCTGGTCTGGCCTTATAAATAACATGGATCACTCAACTAATTTCACAAAATGAATGCCTGCTGTATGTCCAGTAGCTGTAAGCAAACTAAGCTTATTTGGGGGGCAAAGGGGAAGCTCTCCCATATGAAGACTTTAATATTCTTCAGTGATTCTTTCTGCTTTTCCCAGACTAGAACAGAGGTTCTGCCATCTCTTTTTCAAAGGTTGCCAAGTAATGTGAGGGACAAGAGGAGCTGCTAGTGTTTGTTTTGAAACTCTCTTAATTTCATAATTTCTGCTAAAAATCAAATGCATCCTCTCTCCTCCTGAGCTCTTGGATGATGTATGTGTACAGAGCCTTTCTTTCAGCCTGGAACACACCTGTCTTCTGTTCCTTGCTGTTGTTCTGAAGCCAGTGTGTCAAGCCAGCTTCTTGCAAGATTTGTGATTCTACCCAACCGTGCTGAAATCTCTTCGTTGTCTTCTGGTCACCTGGAGGTGTTGCTCCAGTGGCAGTGCTTTTGCACTTCAAGGGCTGAGCAGTGAATGAGAGAGGCTGTCCTTTTTTTTTTTTTCAAGCTCCTCTTTGCCCTCAGCCTTAGCTGAGCTGGCCAGCAAAGGTGGGAGTCAAATAGCTGGGAACTTGGGTGAGGTCAGAGTGCTTATCTGATGCAGGTCTGTGTACAGGTATCTGGTTCAAATGGCTCCTGCTGGCCTGCAGCTGATTTTTTTAATGCTGAGGCACCTGATCTCTGTGAAATCCACCTGATTTATCCTGGCATCATAAATTCTTCATTGGCATTTGTCCTTTAATTTTCTATCCCTTTTACCTTGAACCTGACAATCCTGGTTAGTGTTTAGAGTGTCTTTGCCCACTATACACTCACAGGGATTTTCACAGAAGTGACTTACTCTCCCTTGAGAGAAGCAGGGAGAAGGAAACTTTTAATCTCATATTGAGAAGTATGTAGTGAGAGCGAACCGTTTGGAGCTTGGCTTTGCTCTGTGCTGGCTTCCACCCCATGCCATTGAGCACAGCTCTGGAGAGACAAAAATAAAAGAGAACTTTAAGGAAGCGTCTCAGAATCTTCAACTCCGGATTACATCTGCATGTGAGCTCATTGCACAGTAATGTATTATCATTCACTTTGGAAGAAGCTGAGATAAACCAAGAGCTGCTGAAATATGAGCTGAGTATTGATGTTGAACTTGCAGTTAAAATGGAATGATGCCCTGCAATGACCCTGAGAGATACTCAGTTTCAAGAAAGGAGAGCAGAAAGATTGTTAAAGGAAAGAAACCTTATTCATATAAATGAATGAGGAGCAATACAGCAGAAACTCTTTGGCAAGAAAGGCTGGTATTTTCCAGCCACTGTTAATGGGCAGGAACGTGCTTTGTCATTGTGTGCCTGTGTGCATTAATTTGTAGCTAGAAGTAGAAACCACAGACTAAACTACTGGGGGCTTCTTCCAGTAACAGCTATTTATGAGGCTTGGGGTAAAACTTGTTAGGGAACAGCTCCATGAAGAAGCAGGGAGAGGGCAGGGAGCTGGAACAGTGTGGGTGAAGGAGCTCATTATCTGGAGAAAGGCAGGTCATGAGATTCTCAGTTCAAGAGTGAATGATTTGGTGCCAGGACAGATATGAGTAATATTTTGGAAGACAGAGAACTTGTGGGTTGCATCAGTTTTTTCCCCTGTTGTGGTGCTGGCTGACTGCAAGTAGGGAAGCTGCATGCAGTGGTTGCATCCTCCCTGCTGGGTAACAGACTGTGGGTGCAGGCTTCTTGGGTGGAATAGCCTGCTCTGGATCTTTGTCAGTCGGTTGCTTGACCTTTCTCCACTCTACTTTACTTGTCTGGAAAATAAAGATACCTCATGTCTGTGGGGAGACTGTACTTTATTTTTGCGGAGAAGTACTGGCTAAAAAGATACAGAAAAGGCAAAAAATGTCACCCAAGACAATTGGTAATTAGGATCTCTTCTGTTGTAAATCTAGATGTTAACTGGCTTTTGGTTGTTCTCCCTACTTTCCCCCTTCTTTTTCTTGCAGAGTTAAGGTGT